TCAGAGAAGGTGCCATTATCCTCTCTCTATTGTGCATGAAGCGAGGGGTGGGGAATGATTTCTGGGGAGTCAGATGAAACATGCAAATTGCAGGGTGAGGACCCATGCCCTCACATGAAAGTACAGCCTCAAGGTCTTTACGCTGAGTCATGAATAAGACCTGAAATCCATCTCCCTTCCCCACTCCATGAAGAACGTGTGCATGCTTCCCCCAGAGTGAATCCCACCAAGGGAGATTTTGTAAGAGGGATGAGCAGGATTCTCTCACCAGAGGTTACACATTTCTTCAAGACCTCTTGACCTCCTGCCTCCACAGGAAACAGAAAATTAAACTGAATGTAAGTTTAATCCTCAAACTGTAGTTCCGTTTGGCAAACAAGTTTTTGAAAAGTAATATTGGAATCAAGAATTCAACCTTCCCACATAGAGTAAACAATAGTTTGGCCATAAACTATGCATTATGTAAATAATAAAAAAAAATTTAAAGGCATGGAAATTATACAAATAACTCCATAAAAACAAAAAGGAGGGGGGAATGAAGGAAGGAGAGAAGAGAGTGAAGTCTGGAAACAAAAATAACCGAAAGAACAGAAGAAAATTTCCCAAAGTGCTTCAAGTTATAAAAGTTTATTAAAATACAAACATGAGACACTTTTGTAAAATGGTTTTAATGTTTTGTATTACTTATATGTTTATTAAAACATAAAATAAATAAACAACAGTGACGATAGTACTGAAGAGGTGGGCTGTATGTCCAAGTGCTTATTTCCTCTTCTTAATAACAAAATAGACACTGACTGAAATAGAATCCAGTGCTTAGCAAATGATTCTGTGCTTTTAATGTTTTCAACATCATTTTTTCACAACTTTAGTGAGAATGTTTAGAAGGGCTATCTCTTAGGTTGATAAAACATTTTCAAATTACATTTTTTTCTGTTCCATTTCAATTTTTTTTGTTCGTAAGTTCCAAGTGAAGGTATATATGAGAGTTTCACTAAAATATCTTAAAGGAACTAATATGTATTGGTCACCACTGTCAGTTAATGCTGCATAACAAACATCCTCAAGCTGCCAGCAGCTTATAACAAGAATCATCCATTTCTCAGCCAAGAGCATGGGGGTTGCCTGGACTCCACAGGATGTGACCCCATGGCAGAGACTGGGTTCAGATCTGTGGCAGGAGTCTTCTGGGACCTGTGTTTCTCTGGACTACTTTTTTCTCCTGGTGATGACAGCAAAGAGACCAGACCCACCTGTGCCAGCATACGGCACCTGTCATAGGCACCTTCATCCTGCTGGTTAGACCAAGATGAGGCAAAGACCAACTTCAGATGAGAAAACATCCCCCAACCACCATTAAGCCATGGCAAAGGTGTAGACATCAACTGTCACTACCAGGGACCAATGTGAGCCTGGGAATTCCATCACACTGTCCACTCATTTATCTATGCACTGACCTACCAGAGAGTGGACAGAGATGGTGTGGACTAGGTGACTGCATTTTAGATAATTTCTTTTATTCCTTTTATTTTTCAGGAGGAGGGGCTTTGTTTCTTAAATACTGTAGTATATGAATGAAAAAAATTCTGGAGTTCTAATTAAAAAGAAATGACTACATGGAGGTATAATTCAAATACAAAAATATTCACCCTTTTGAAGTGTATACTTCAGTAGGTTTAGCATATCCAAACAACTTTGACCACTATCTAATTTAAGAATATTGTCATCACTCCAAAGAGAAAACCTGTTAGTAGTCACTGCCCATTTACCCCTTCCACTAGCCATGGGAAGAACATTAGTCTACTTCCTTCCTCGATAGATTTGTCAGTCCTTAACATTTCACACAAGTGGAATTATCCATTCTGTGGCCTTTTGTGAATAGCTTCTTCTACCAAGTATGTTTCCCTGGTTCACCCATACTGTTTGTATCAGTACTTCATTTAAATTTATTGCTTACAAATACTCCGTTTGTATGGGTAGACT